TACAGGAGGGGAGAGAAGCTTTGCTGGCAGGAAGTTCTTATCAATCTGTCTAATTATGCTTTTGTATTCACTATGAGCTCCTTGGCCTCCTGAATATTTTACAGACTGTGAAACGATACTTGGTCTTTGAATTGAAATGCCAGCCTGAAAAACTGGACTAATTTAAGGAAAGTTTTATTTCAGTTTGAGGAGAAAAAAACCTAACAAAACAGATCTTTATCAAGGCAATATTTAAAGACTAAATGGATGATGTAAGGTATTTTAGACTGTTTTTTTACTTCCTCATCTGAATGATGTCAATAATTGAAACAGATAATTGAATAATTGAAAGATATGTAACGATTTCTTTTATTGTTTTTAATTTTGCTTTTCTCCGTGTCCCCTCCTGCAACATTTTCCTTTATCTCTTATGCGCACATTCAAAGAATTCCTACAAGAACATTTTTCATTTTCCCTGAGAGACAGAATAGACAATGTCTAAACTACGTCAGACAACAGATTCCTGACCTCAGCCCCTGCAGAGCCCAGGTCAGATCGTCAAGCAGAAAGGAAATCAGAGAAACTTGAAATCTCTGCTTAGGTCTTTGTCGATGTGTGGAAAAGAATAGGTCAAATGCTATAGTCTGTACCAGGGGGTATACTATGTGTTTTTGTAAAAGGTCAGATAGTGAATATTTTAGGCTTTTGAGGCCATAGGACTTCTTTGGCAGTGACTCCCTCCTACCCTTATAATGAGAAAGCCGCTACCGACAAAAAGTGGACAAATGAGTATAGCTGTATTACACAAAGACTTTACCAAAACAGCAGTGGCTCAGGTTTGGCTCCTGTGCTGCAGATTGCTGAATGCTGTTCTGTTGTTAGACACATGCTTAGAACACAGTGCATGTCAGAAATGTACATATTATTAGGAATTCCTTCCTTCCTTCGACAGAGATGGGCAAACCAAAACTCCCTGCCAGAGCAGAGTTTATATTGAATCACGGAGAGCTGATAAAGAACAAGAAATGGAATAAACACGCAAACTTCTTAATGTGTTAAAAGTTCAAAGTACTAGGAAGACAGTATGTGAGGGGAATAGAGAGCGTTATGGGGGTGATCAGAGCATGGACCCTAATTTCAATAGGATGGCTACGGTACGCTGCGTAGAAAGCAGCGTTTGGGCAGACATCTGCACCTTCTCAGCGGTGTCTCCACCTTGCTGCTTTTTCAGCCGTTACTGTGGCACAGGAGCTGTGTAGGTGCAGGGTCAGGGTTTGGGGAGCAAAAGTGTCCTAGAGCATTTTTATTAATGACTTGTCTTTTAGGTGTGCTGGTTCTTGGAGCTGTGACCTCGTCAAGCTTCTCTAGGGGTAGAGGGTTCTCTACACCCTCACATTCCTTTCTTTGGTTGTAGTGCTCTTAATTCGTTTCCTAACCTCCGCTGAGTTTCTCTTTCCTGTAGCTGAGGCTGGTGTACTGGAGGGAGAGTGGGAGGAGTGCTTCCTCCCCAGACAGCGTGAGGCTGTGGCAGAGACTCTTCCCCCCGGAGAGCGCGCCTTTGTAACGGAGCACGCTCTTGACGTGTTCGGCAATGCTGATTTTTCTCACCAGTTTCCCTAACCATGAGGGACTTTTGCTTAGCTCTTCACCGCAAGAACCTGGTGGAACTCTTGGAGTCAAATCTCACAGAAGCACAGGAGCTCCCAAAGACTAGCACCCTCAGGAGTATCTTACACTTAAGCCAGGCTGTCTCCATCCCTTAAAGTTACCAGTGTAGACTTCCTGCTAGTTTATGGCTCCAGGAGCTTCTGTCCCAGGCATGCGCATTTCAGCTCTGCCTCTAGGATACATCTGTGTCTCACATTTTAGTTTGGTAATTGCCTGAAACATCATTTTTTTTTTTTTCTACTCGGTTCAAGAAAAGTAATTGATTTTCATTCTGTTAAGAATGTTCTTGCCAAATTGAGTGTCTGTTTCTAAGTTCTTTACCCATTGGGTCTGAAACCAAAAGTCCTGTGCTGTTTTTAGGATCTATACTCAAAAATGCCAAAAGTCTACTTCTACCCACATGTCATTGGGGAGAGCATGTCAACTGATTAACTCCAAACCAAAGAACGAGATACACACCTCACCTATGCTGAGGCCAGAGAAGAGTGGCTGCAGGGAGGGCAAAAAATTGAGACCATTCATTTTCAAAAAATGAGTTATTTCCTTATTCTTTCATCATGGGCTTTTCACTGCTGCCATTACCTCTGCAACCCTATTGTTCTGTTAAATTATCTACTGAATGGTTAGCATGCTCCCTTTTTTTCCTAGATGGACTTTGAGTGACACAAACCTGAGTTCAGAAGTATGAGAAAGTATTACTCACTGTTCTCCTTGAACCTCAGTAACTGTCTGTATAGTGTCTTAGCTGAGTCATTTTTATTCGCAAGGAAGAGGAAGCCACACAGTTGAATTCAGGGAAAAAAAAGAAAGAGAGGCAGGTTATAGCAGACATATGGGCCAAGTTCTGCAATAGGTCTCTGAACTCAGGACGGAGGGACCATTAGAGTTCTCTAGGGCATGAAACCTGGGAGTGGGAATAGTCTGAAATCTCACACAGGGCCCCGTAGCATCTCTTTCTGCTTCTCTGAGTGTTGTGCTGTTTCTGCAGATTGGCTCTTTATTTTGCAAGCTGAAGCCATTCTAAGGTGATATCCTATAACTATGAAGTAATGATATCCTTGGGGCAAGAATCTTACTGAAATCAAACAGTTGGTTCTCAATTTTAATTTCATACTCCCCAGATGTAATATAATGGATGTAGTTAGGGAAATATTCTCACCCCTGATATCATCAGTGGACACTGAAACAGTCCTGGGAGACCTCCCGGCTGTGGAGGAGTAGAGACTGGGGAAAGGGACTCCGGTGAGTTACGCTCAGAAGCCAGGACACAGGGACCTCTGCGTCCTTCTTAAGAAATTCTGCATGTCTGGAGATATTTTCAGTTGTTATACTTGGGAGGGGAATCCTACTGGCATCTATGGATAGAGGCCAGAGATGCTGCTAAGCATTGTCCAATGCAGTCTGCAACCTACAACCACAAAACATCCAGCCCAAAATAACAGTAGTGCTGGTGTTGAGAAACGTTGAGCTGGACTAACATCTCAAAGAGAAGACTGACAGGTACCTGTTGAGCTCTGTGTGAGAAAAATACAAATAAATAATAACTGTTGCATTTAGTGAGCACATACTATGTTCTAAGTGCTTGACCAATACCTTTTCACTACTTCCTCACAACAGTTCTATAAGGTAAGTACCATTATCTTTGGTTTATGGAAAACCATGTAAGGCACTCTCCTTGCAAAGTTCTTAACTCTAAGTGACTATGACTATGAAAATCATCACATCTTGGATCTATTGTTGTTGTCACCTAAGTGCTTAGGGAGATACAAATAGATTCTTAAATACCGATCCTGTGAGCCAACAAGTGACAGTAAATAATAATATCACCATTATCACCTGCTAGCACTGTAAAAATGACAGTTATGTCATGCTGTGTATAAAAGGATTTGAATGTAGCATAAACAGCTACACAGAAATAAAGGCTGATAGGAACAGCAAAAGGAGAATAGAACATGTAGGCTTGAGCCAAACAAAGCAAAAGATTCCCCAAATCGATATTCTCATAGCTTTCCTTCCCTCTCTAATTTGCCAGTTGACAGTCTATACTGAGACTGTTTTCTATACCTTACAATAGGAATAGGGTGTGTGACTTGTCCCAATCTGATCTGTGCATATTGCATCATGTATGGGCTTCTCATCATGATTCATGTACCCCGTAAACATGCATAATAATGGCATGTCAATTAAAATTAATTTTAAAATAGGACTGAACACACAAAATTTGTAGAGTTGTAAGTGGTTCCAGTGTAGTTCACTGCCTGCTGGTGTAAATAACATTTTCTTGGGACATGGTCATGGTTCTTTTTTTTTTTTTTTTAAGGCAGAGCTGAATATTTACAAATCTGAAAAGGTTTGCTACCTTGCCCACTTGTGGAGAAAGTCCTCTGACTCCTGACATAGGGTGGAGGCCCTGGAACTTGGTGAATGTTAAGGAAAAAGATTCAAACCTTAATTACTCTTCACATTAGCTATGTGACTTTAGTAAAATTTCTTATACTCTCTAGTCCTAGGTTTTCTCATTTATCCAATGAACTTTCTTGTGGATTAAGTGAATGTACTTATTTATTAAGAATTGAATGGACATTAAATAATGAAAGTTATAATAAGCAATGCTTTGTTCTGAACATATTTAATGCATATATACTGTAGGATCAGTGTTCAATTTCCTGCCATGGCACCGGCATTTATGGTAAAAGAGAAAGAGTGTCCATTCTGTACTCCGTTCAGTTCTGAGAGCTGTGCGTCTGTGAAAACTTGGATATATACATAATATTATTGTCAAATGTGTGTTGGAAACACAGGATATAAAGCACAGAGACATTGAAAAGATTGCTTAGGGTCTCATAGCTGAGAAGTTAGGTACAACTAGGACGATGCACTCCCACAGTCAGCTGCAGAGCTCAGACTGCAGCTCTGAAATGAGCATCAGCCTGGATGCTCCTCCGCAGTGATTCATTTTCAGCCCAGATGGGCACCTTTGTGGAGGGTTCTGCTCTGTCTAGGAAAACATGCTGATCTTAGGTGGCTCAGGTACAGCTTTTGACACAGGGTCCGTAGCGCCTTGGGGAAAAGGAAACTGTGACCAACACAGGAGAATCCCAGGCATGTATTTCAGAGGGGTGGGAGAACTCTGTGATCTGGGGAGGGGATCAGCAGACACTTGTCCTTAGGACCTGTGTCTGTGTCACAGCATGTGTATTTGCATGCCTGCTCCACCAAACACTATGTTGCAACCCTAAGCTACAGTGTTTTAGAACCTTACTGTTTTGGAGACAGTGCCTTTCCAGAGGTGATGAAATTAAAACAAGATCTTTAGTGCCGGCCCTGATTTAGTCTGACTGGTGTTCTTACAGGATGAAGGAATTTGATCTGCAGGGATGTGTGCATAAGAGAAAAGTCCCTGTGAGGACACAGGCAGAAGGCATCATCTGACAGACAAGGAGCGCCTCGGAAGGAAACAAACCTGCTCACATTTGTAGCCTCCAGAACTGTGAGTACTTGAGTTTTATTGCTGAAGACATCCCGTCTGTGGTCTTTGTTGCTCCATGCACAACAGGGTCATATGGTACACCAATAGCACTCCACTTGGAAATGGTTAGCAGAATATGGGATGAAAAAAAAAGGGAGTCTTTCATTGTTTTCCTGCCACATGTCATAGGCCAGACGTGACCCAAACATGTTTAAAGTGCCACTAGCAAATATACTGAATTAAAAAATGAGCATGGAAGGCATCAGCAGATGGAGAGGGAGCACGCTGTATTGATGGGGGCTTCTGCACCAAGTGAAGTGGCTGCAGACAACTCCAGAGACGTGCTGCTCTCACAAAGTGCTGATGGAGAAAATAGACCAGCAGAGCAGCAGTAAAAAGAAGCTGTGCCCAGCAGAGTGGCACCAAATCCAAGAAAGGGCAGAACATGTTGCACACGTTACTGGAGATTCCAAAAACTCTTAAGAGGAGGTTCACACATCAGCAGTTTGAAGAAATGAATGATGAAAATTTGATATTAATATTAGTGTTCCCACAAATGAGTTCAGAGGGTGGTGAGGCTTGGGGAAATTACAGTTACACACAGTTGGCTCCACAGCAGGTGCTGATGAAGAAGTTTCTTAAAAGCTAAACATGATGCATTTGAAAAAATAGACTGGCAGGCAAATAATGGTGCATTGGGGAAAAAGTAAGGAGATTTATGCAAGAATAGAGAGAGCCCAGGAGAAGTAGATTTAAGCTAACACAATCAACTTCCAAGGGTTATTAAAGAAGATCTAATTAAAAGGACTTTGTGAAGAGAACATGCTTCAGAGATGGTTTATTAAGCGAGAAAGCTGAACTTTATTCAAGATGATCACAGGCAGAAATTCAATGGCATGAATAGGAACTGTACTTAGAACCAAACAACTAATAGGCTACAACAAGAAAAGGAATTGGGCATAGTTAAAAAGAGCCAGTTAAAAATAGAGAGGGGAGGGACCCGTTTGTACTGCTCTAGAGATGGAAACAGAGGAAAAAGATAATAATTTGTAACTTGGCAGAGCAAAGACAGACTATGAAAATCACTTAATTGTCAAAAGGCATACATGATGGAGAAGGGTCCACACTAGGGCCAGGGTGCTGGTGTGAGTGGCAGGAAATCAAATGAAGGGACCTAATCCAGCCCTCCTGTGAGTGCGGCTTTCTGTTCTCCAGCTGTCCCTTGCCTATCACTTGCAAGCAGTATAGGCTGAAAGCTAAAGAGTCAAATGTTCTAGTGGCCTTTATTCTAATCATGGCATGTACAGGGGTAGCTAGAGGGCAGTATATAGCTTGCTGACTTTGAAAACAGGTGGCCTTTCCTCAAGATGTTAGATAACCCATACCCTTTTCCTCCACCTTGAAAGGGAGGTGTGTCAGTCAGTGCTTACTGGAGAAACTCCTTTGCCACAAGATATACAAATATATAAGCATTTACAAGATTGGTTTATTTTTTTATTTTTTTCTCATTGAGTTTATTGGTACATTTTAGGTATACAGTACAGTTACTTTCATTATTGGGATCTTGTTCCTTTACATGACAGGTCTTGGTTCTCAGTTTTTCCCCTTGTCCCTGCTCTCCCTTCACCCCCTCCTTACCTCCCCCTTTACAAACACTTCATTTCCATTTTCTCATATTTTTTTCTTTTCCCTTATTAGCTTTCCCCTACCCTTCTCACTTTCCCTACATCTTTAGCCCCTTTCTTCCTATTTCACATTGTCAATTATATCATTAGGATCTTATGTACTGTTATGGTTTATTCACACCAGAGAAACTATTTGGTATTTACACATGTGTGACTTACTTATTTCACTTAGGAGATATCCTCAATATGTATCCATTTTCCTATGAATGAATCTAATTTCTCATACTTATGGCTGAATAATATTCCATTTTATAAAAAAACTACATCTTCTCTATCCAGTCTCCAACTGATGGGCAGATGGGCTGTTTCCAAGTTTTAGCTATTACAAACTGTGCTGCTATAAACATAGGTGTACATATATCTCTGTGATATGATTCTTTTAATTCTTTTGGAAAGATAACCCAGCAGAGGGATGCCTGGGTCAAAAGGAACCTCTACCATCTCTTTGAGGTATCTCTATATTGATTTCCATAGTGGTTGCACCAGTCTGCACTCTCACCAACAATGGAGAAGGGTTCCTTTCTCCCCACAACCCTGCCAACATTTACTATTGTTTGATTTCTCGATAGCAGCCATTCTTTGTGGGGTGAGGTGGAATCTCAGTGTTGTTTTCATCTGCATCTCTCAAATGACTAGTGATGTGGAACAATTTTTCATATATTTACTTGCTGCTTTTACTTCTTTGTCTGAGAAATGTCTGTTCATTTCAGATGCCCATTTTTGAATCGGGTCTTTATATTGGGGGGGGTGCTGATTGTTTTGAGTTCTTTATATATTCTAGATAATAGTCCTTTGTCTGAGAAGCAGCTAGTAAAATTTTTTTTCCTACATTGTAGGTTGTCTCTTAGTTCTGCTGATGGTTTCTTTTGTAGTGCAGAAGCTTTTTAATAAAATGAGATCGCAGCTGTTGATTCTTTCTGCTAGTTCCCGAGCTACTGAGGATCTGTTCATAAAATCTTTTCCTATGCCAGTGCCTTCAAGAGTTCTGCCTAATTTATCTTGCAGCAAATTTAGTGTTTCTGTTTTAATATTTAGATCTTTATTCCACTTGGATTTTAATTTAGTGCATGGTGAAAGATAAGGGTCTAGTTTTAATCTTTGGTGGGTTGAGATCCAGTTTGTCCAACATCATTTATTAAAGATGCTATCTTTCCTACAGTGGGGATGGTCAGCTCTTTTGTCAAAGACGATGTAGCTGAGTACATCTGGAGTTGTTTTTGTGTCTTCCAATCTGTTCCACTGGTCCTCAGGTCTGTTTCTTTGCCAGTAACATGCTGTTTTTATCACAGTGCTTTTGTAGTAGAGTTTCAAATTGGGAATTGTTACACCCGGTGCCATGTGTCTGTTACCTAGGATGGCTTATGCTATTTATTCTCGGTCTCTTCTCATTCCAAATTAATTCTTGGATTCTTTTTTCTAGTTCTGTGAAATATAGTGTTGGAATTTCAATTGGCATTGCACTGAATCTGTATAGCAGTTTTGGTAGTATGGCCATTTTCACTATGTTGATTTTTCCTACCCAGGAGCAGGGGATATCTTTCCATTTCTTATATCCTCTTTAATCTCTTCTTTCAGAGTGCTGTAGTTTTCAGTATAGAGGTCTTTTTCTTCTTTTGTTAGATTGATTGCCTAGATACTTCATTTTTTTTGGATGCTATTGTGAAAGGAATTGTTTCCCTAATTTCTTGCTCATTGAGTCTGTTATTTGTGTAGAAGAAGGCTATTGATTTTTGGGTGTTGAACCTGTATCCAGCTACTCTGCTAAAAGTGTAGATTAAGTCTAGAAGACTTTTGGTGGAGTTTTTTGGGTCTTCTATGTAGAGTATCATGTGGTCAGCAAATAATGACAGTTTAACTTCTTCCTTTCCTTTCTTTATTGCTTTAATTTCATTCTCTTATCTAATTGCTGTGGCTAATGTGTCCAGAAATATATTGAAGAGGAGTGGTGATAGTGGGCATCCTTGTCTTGTTCCTGATTTTAACGTGAAAGTTTTCAGTTTTTGGCCATTTAATATGATGCTGGCTGTTGGTTTTTCATAGATAGCCTTTATTAAGTTGAGATATAGACCATCTATTCCGATTTTTTGCAGGGCTTTTATCATGAATAGGTGTTGAATTTTGTCAAATGCTTTTCCTGCATCTATCGAGAGGATCATATGGTTTTTGTACTTGACTCTGTTAATATAGTGTATTACATTTATTGACTTATGTATGTTGAACTATCCTTGCATCCCTGGAAAAAATCCGACTTGGTCAGAATGTATGATTTTCTTGATGATCCTCTGTATTCTGTTTGCTAGTATCTTATTAAGGATTTTTGCATCTATATTCATTAGGAGATTGGCCTGTAGTTCTCTTTTTTAGTTGTGTCTTTCCCTGGTTTGGGAATCAAAGTGATACTTGCTTCCAGGAATGAATTTGGAAGTATAGCTTCTCTTTCAATTTCACTGAAAAGTTTGAAGAGTAGTGGCAGTAATTCTTCTCTAAATGTCTTGTAAAATTCAGTAGTGAATTCATTAGGGCCTGGGCTTTTCTTTGTTGGTAAATTTTTAATTACATTTTCAATTTCATTTATTGTAATTGGGATGTTTAAAATGTTTTTATCTTCTTTGTTTAACTTTGGTAATTCATAAGTATCTAGAAATCTGTCCATTTCTTCTGTGTTTTCCATTTTGTTATAGTACAGATTCTCAAAGTAGGTATTGATTATCCTCTGGATTTCTGTTGGATTTGTTGTGATTCCACCTTTTTCATTCTTAGTTGCATGGATCTGAGCCTTTTCTTTCCTATTTTGGATAAGCTTAGCTAAGTGTTTATCAATTTTATTCATTCTTTCCAAAAACCAACTCTTCGAGTCATTTATTTTTGTATCATTTTCTTAGTTTCCATTGCACTGATTTTTGCTCTTATCTTTATAATTTCCTCTCTTTTTTAGAGCTTTGGGTTTTTCTTGCTCTTGTTTTTCTAGGAGTCTAAGATTCATCATTAGGTTGTTTATTTGAGCTCTCTCTGTTTTCCTATTGTGGGCATTCAGTGCTATGAATTTATAACATAAAGAAATACTTTCATTTTGTCCAATAGATTTATGTGTGTTGTATTGGAGTTTTCATTTATTTGTAAAAACTGTCTGATTTCTCCTTTAATTTCCTCTGTGATCCATTGATTGTTCAAGAGAGTGTTGTTCAATTTCCATGTATTTGTGAAGTTCCTTCAGTTTCTTGTGCTATTGATCTCCAGCTTGATTGCACCATAATGTGATAATATACAGGAAATAAATTTGATTCTTTTGCATTACCTGTTCTGTGAGCTAATATGTGATCTATCTTGGAGAATGAC